AGAGAGCACATTGTCTGTGGGGAGATGTTCTGAGGTTTCTTTTTTAACTGTCCTTATGCATGTGGAGTTATGTGTATCTTGCAGTGTCATTTAACTGGCAGCATAGGTTCTAAGGGTTAGCTTAACCATTTCATTAACTCAGTCTATGCCTTTAGGCACTCTACAATGCGCTTGATTCCCTTGAAGCTTAGAGCTGTGTATACCCGGGAAGAAATCAGTGTATGTTCTCGGTGTCAAATTCTAGTGAGGTGCCATATGGAAATTTGCTGAGACACAGTGTGGAGAAGAGGGGGCAGGAAGGACATGTCTCTCCACCTGATGCTCACAGGAAGCCCATTTGGCAGGCTTTCTGAGCAGAAGCTAGCTGAGGAGGGATAATTTGATATAGTGCTTCTGCTACATTTTGGATGTAAGATCCTGATCAGACAGTAGTGACTTTATGCATACAACTTCACACAGTTGAATTGGATTCTAAATTCTGAGAAACAGTGAAATCTCTATCTTCCCTGAGTTAGTGATGAAGAAAACATGAAATCTAGTCTTTGGAGCTCCAATAGCAGCAGCCTTTTATAAATTGTACTCATTTTTTACTTCAAAAAAGAACAGCAGCCTGCAGAGATCTGTTACTGCTTTGTCATATAATTTCAGAGCACATTGCCAGCTCATGTCTAGCTTTTCATCCACCAGTACCCCCAAGTCCTTCTCAGCAGGGCTGCTCTCTCTGTGGACCAGACAGTCCACCCATCAAATCCATATCTCTCCAGTCTAGAGAGAAGGATGTTGTGGGGGACTGTGTCAAAGGCCTTACAGAGGTCCAGATAGATGACATTAGTAGCTCTTTCCATGTCCACTGATGTAGTCACTCCATCATAGAAAGTGTCAGGCAGGACTTGCCCTTGGTGAAGCCATGCTGGCTGTGTCAAATCACTTCCCTGTCCTCCATGTGCCTTAGCATAGCTTCTAGGAGGATCTGTTCCGTGATCTTCCCAGGCACAGAGGTGAGACTGACTAGCCTGTAGTTCCCTGGGTCCTCCTTTCTACCCTTTTTAAAAATGGGGGTTATGTTTCCCTTTTTCCAGTCACCAGGGACTTCACCTGACTGCCATGACTTTTCAAATATCATGGAGAGTGGCTTCGCAACTATATCAGCCCATTTCCTCAGGACTCTGGGACGCATCTCGTCAGGCCCCATAGACTCATGTATATAAATCTGGGAGGTCGGTTAAACCTGGGAGGAGAATCCAGGTTTCTCTGCTCCCAGTCCTGGTTCTGAGCACCCAACCATCACGCACAAAGCTCCAGCCCAGTGCATGTGATGTGGGGGGAAGAGAAGGTGAAACCTAGCAGATAATCCAGACGAGTGAAAGCTGCAAGAGCCACAGTGGAGAAAGCTGCTTAACCTGATGTCAGAGTGTCAAGGGGGGCTTGATTCAAGGCACAAAACCATGAGAAATTGCAAAAGCCAAATCCTTTATGAAGATTTATTTAGAAAAACCACAATGCTGGGGAGTCACTGTTACATAGCGTGGTAATTTTCTTCCTCTTGAGTAAATGCACCACACTGTGCGCATGCAATTACTTTTGTTCCAGAGATAACATCTTCATCTAGAGTTACACATGTACACATACGGTCCTTAGTGCACGCTATGGTTCACATATATGTTAGGACACACAAAGTTGAGCTTTTCCATGAAAAAACTGTATAAAAAATACAAACCAAAGTGAAGCTGTCAACACGAGAAGCAATGTGCAAAAATAGACAGTTACTCTTGAATGTTTGCTTAAGAAAAAAGGACTCTTCTGTCCTTGTTCCCCATTCAGCATTGAGTGTGCCAGATGTTGCTTGAAAGTAGAATTTAAAATAACTAGTCACATCCTGACCCCCTTCATGTTAGTTGCAGAGATTTTTAACCAGCTAAATAATCCTGTATTAATCTGAAAAACTGCCTTCAAGCATCACCATCGTGTGCTGCTGTTGTATTGAACAGCTCTTTATATTGTTGCAACGTTTGATTTGTGATGCTCAAGGCCAGGTGACAACCAAGCCCTTGTGCGGAGCACGCAGAACGAGGCAGGACAGAGATGTCCCTGGTCACTGAGCCCCCGGCAGGGGCTGGCAGCAGCTGCCTGGAGAAAATGGCCAGGGATTAGGAGTTCTCTTCATGCGTGCTGGAAGGAGCCAGACCTCCCAGGTCCCTGCCATGGGGTACACAGCTCCAGGCGCTGCCTGCTAGTGCATGGTGGGGCTGGTGTTTGAGATGATACTCTCGAGTGCCTGAGGAATTCTCCCTTCGGAGGAAACATGCCTGTGCAAAGAGCATGGCAGATGAAGGGACGGAAAGCCCACAGGGCCTTCCCCAGCCAGGCACCCTGGTCCATGATGCAAACTGTAGCTGACATGGATGGAGCCACCTGACTATATAACCACTTGTGTGGCTCTGAGCAAAGCTATACAGGATGACACGCTGCAGACATCATGAAGCAGTCAGACCAATCCATCCTTGTAAAACTGCTGCATGCAAATACCAACACTTTAAATGGCAATTAAGACTAGAAATGGATTGCACTTTTTTCCCTTAAACACATATACGTACCACCCTTTAAAAAAAACCAAAACAGTAACCATTAAAAAAAAAAATCTTCAGAATACATTAAAAAAAATTGATCGGTAGTTGGGATTCCCTTGATTGGATCAAAGGAAGAGAAGAAGAAAATAGGGGCAATGTGAGTCTAACCACTGAAGTTTGTCAGGAACCATAATCTTTTGGTTTTGAGATAAGGATTCTTCCTACCCATAAGACTTGATGCTGCAAAGCCCACTATTCCCCTGGTAATCTGCATGTTTTTTAAGGACTGTTTATTTAAGCCCATGCAGAGTTATGACTGTGTTACAGAACTTGTCTTTTTTTCTTAATGGGATATCAAAGTTTTTCACAGCAAACCCTGCATGGATCCAGGGAAAATCTCAGCAAGACTCCCCTGTGTGTTACGTTTTTTACTTGCAAAGCAAAGGTTTCTGAGGAAGAGAAGGAGAGGTGGAAATTGTAAAGACTGGGAGCTCTCCAGGGAAGTAAACTGTGGATACTGCACTTTACATCCCAGCTCAGCAGACCACTTTGGCAAGCTATTTTAAGTGGGATTTAAGTGTATGTTACTCAGTTTGGACCCCAGTATGAAGACCAGTATCCAACAGGAAGTGTTGCCTTGGACCTACTCGTTTCCATTATAAAAGGCACGGAGGGAGGGTTCATCCTGTTAGCTTGCACCCCAGCTCTGGTCGTGAAAACATCACTCAGGGAAGTGTGCCAAACACGTACCGACTGCTCCGGGGCTCCCCCGGTTTCTAACCCCGGGACGCCCAGCTGCACAGTGGCTCTCAGCTCTCCCCCCTGGGTCGGGAGTACGCTGCAGCGACCGTGACCTCCAGCACTGTCCATCACCCGGGTGAAGGAAGCAGTGCTTCATCCCTGTCGTCCTGAGGGAGCTCTCGGAGGAGAGGCTAGTAGCGGATAGTAGCGCTAGCCCCAGGTGCATTTCTGCAGCTTTCTGAAAGCATTGGTATGTGTGACACACCTAACCCGAGTCTCCCTTAGCTCTTACAGCATGCGGACGTGTAACCAAAGTGAACCTCTGGCTGTTAGTCAGAGACAACTGTTGGCAGGTATAAAACAGTGGTAGAGAATAGTTTTAGACTGTAAAATACACAAAATGAAACATGAGACTGAATTCTTACTAAAATTTTGATGCTGCTGAGCATTGGGGTTAGCTGCTGCTTCACGAGTGTTTTCCACTGGGTTCAGTTTATGTCCAGCATCTGAGTTAAGGCCCTGATTTAGCAAAGCATTTGTGCATATGCTTAAATCTGCCCTTATTCAGCTAAGCGCTGATTCGAATACCTAAATGCCTTGTGACACGGGGACAAACCTGAACTGGAGCCTATACATGTAAGTTATGTAGCTGTCACAACTACCCTTTTAATGTTTTTTTTCCTGGTAGCACAGTTGCTCTCCCAGATTAACTATTTAATTAATCTTCATCTAAAAGGTCCTGAGAACAGTTCTATAATACTAACAAATGTACATAAATACCAGAACTGAAAAAAGTCAAACGCATGGCTCAAAGCAAAACAAATATTGCTCAGAATACTTCTTTAGATTAAGATTAATAGCTGTAAACTGTGCATTCTAGTAGCAAATAAAAACCTGTTGGCCTAGAAAAAAACCCAAAACATTCAAAGTCTATAGGATTGGCAGCACTAATATTACTTTACAATGTGGAGTAAGGATAACAAATATCAGCATAACATTGCGAAATGATCCACCTAACCTAAGCTTATGTAAACAAGTAGGCTTTGACAATGTGTATACGTCTAGGCGTGATCCTCACTTGAACCTGGTCGGGTAGAGACCCAAGAAGGTAGAAGGGCGCTTTCCAATGCGGTTCCACCTGCCCAGATCCCGCTGCAGGAGAGAGGCTCAGGGGTGTGACCCTGCAAACCTGTACTGGCATTACTAGTTCTATTCCTGGGAGCATCCCATTGCAGGATTCAGTTCGGCAGGACTATACACATATAAGTAAGGATTATTCACAAACATAAGGCATTGCAGAACTTGGCCCTAAAATTTCTATTTTCAGCAGAGAATCCCTTATCCATACACGAGATCATATTTTAACATATCAAAAAGTGTCTAAAATAAGGGTCAGAGTCACTATATGTTATGCTCAGTAACACAGTTAAGATTCTGCGTATTGGCTTCAGATATTGCTAAACATTTTTTTCATTAAAATCAAACCAACTATGAATCTTTCTCATAAAAATTAAATTAACCATGAAAGTTAAAAATGAACAGGCTGTGTTTTCAAGGTTAAAAGGAGACATTAACAGAAATGAGCAATTCCCATTGTAATGGTTTTCCATGCCTTCCCCTATGACCAGTGAGCACTCTGAGATTGCAGTTGTTGGTGGCCTCCAATCTTGCCCTGCATCCTCTATGACGTGGCTACTGCCGCTCTCCTTCCACCCGCTTTTTACGAACTAGACCAATGAAACAAGAAAAGAGCAGTCGTTATTGCTTTCCTGAGAGCCTAGGGACTTTTCTCACTCACGCGCTCCCTTCCCGGTAACATGAATAGGAAGGAAGGAGCTTCTAAGAAATACTTAGCAGGATTATGTCCATAAATGCCATAATTAACAGATCTTAATGCTAAACAAAACAACTGTATCTAAATGGCACTTTTCTATATCACAGACTGTAGAATTTCACCAAGTGTTCATATCAATACATTTTCTGTAAAAATCAGTTTCTGAGCTAAAGGTTTTAGATGATTAAGAAATCACTATTTCCAGTGCTTCCTCCCGATGGCTTCATTTAGATTTTCGTTACAGTTTTACTGTTCTTTTAAAAGCCACTGTGTTCCAACTAAGTTGATACTGGTCTACTCTAGTCTGCATGGCAGTGCTCTGGATTATTTAAGCATTAGGCATCAAAAATTAGTAACTTTTGTAATTGCACAAGTGTATACTATAGGTAAGCAATAATCATATCCTTTTAGAAAATAATTTGAAGTACTCTTAAGTACTGATATCAGTGAGTATTGGCAACAAGGAAAACAACATATTGGACCTTAAATTATCTGTTTAAACTTCACATGCTCTGATTGCATCAACCATCTGATAGTAAGTTAATTAACGCTGGAAACTCACTAGAAATCAAGTAGGTTGAAGTTGCCATTTAGCAAAGCAGAGTGATGAGCTTTGTGTTATGGGCAGGATTATTTTGACAAGCAGCCCCGCGTGAATTTTTACAGCACTTAGGATACATGACAGTTGGTATAGAGCAAGTCTAGTTGGGCAGCATTTGCTACTCCATACCCTAATAAAAATGTATTGAGTCTTCTCTGACTTGGCCAGATAAGATTAGTGAGGTTCTTCTGTTCGTGTGATACAAAATTTGGTGTTACATCAAACTGTCATGTCCTGTTTCTGATATTGAACTGCTGAAGTACAGAACAAAAGCAGTAAAACTGGATGAATGAGTGCTTTTCACTACAGAAAGTCAATAACAACAATATATTACTACAAACATCCCATTACTTTACTATCAGGAGGTTTATTTCATAGTGCTTTCTTGGCAGACTACATTATTCCAAAGCCTACAGTGTAACATCAGTCATTTTTGTCTGCTTTCAGTGTTTTGTTGTTTCATTTATTTTATTTTATTGAATTCTTTTTTGTATTCTGTCCTAGTAAATCTTGGACAAAACCATACAATACAAAAGCAGGAAAATGAAGATTAGGTACAGGACATATGTCTAATGGCAATTGGTTAAATAGTGGGACAAAAGGTCTTTCTCTCCTTGTCGGTGGGATGTTTCAAATACCATTCCGGGACACTAATAGTTTCAGGACCAATAGTATATCATTGGAATGCTTAGGTACTGCTAAAAATTAAAAGTGAAAAAAAAACCAAGTGTGTGTGAAAGAAATAGGTTCTAGCTCAACTTCTATCTTAGTTGTCACAGAGAGAAACTGAAGCTGAAGCCAGCAAAGGTGTCATGGTTTGACACCCCACTTTGAAGTAGAATTGATTAAAAACACATAGTTAATTTTTTTTTTTTTTTCCCTTCTTACTGTAAACTACTCTTGCCTAATCATCTCCTTCTTATTCTGTGTCTTGAGCACACCGGGTAGAGCACGTCACACTCAGGTAAAACTTGCAAAGCTTTATTGTCTTTGACTGTACTTGGTCAGGCAGGCAGGAAAGTCTTTTTTGTTCCCGTGGTTGGGCAGGCTTGGTCTGTCATGGGCAGGGCATAGAAGTGAGGACTTCTGTGTTCGCTGAACAAACAGGATGGGTTTGGCTCTCTCCTTACTGGCCAGAAGAGCTGACAGGGCAGCTGGAAATCCAGGGTGCTCCATGGAAAAGGCTGAAGTAACTCCCCTTCCCAGAAGGAGTGGGAGAAGGCTAAGAATAATAGTGGCTCCTAATCACAGTAAGATCTTTGCTGTTGTCTACTCTAGAGTCAGTGGAGCTATGCATCACCCCTCTACATATAGCAGATTGAATGTTGTAGAGTTAAAATTCAATCTTATGTACAGGCAGGAGTTGTGCCTAGGAAGGACAGGGCTTGGCTCACGTAAACAAATGATGAGTAGATGTAGTAGCATCTTACCCAGATCGTTGTTTTTAGTGATAGCTGCTGCTACCCTGGTTCTTGGGCCTTGCTTTGTGAACTGGTATCCAAACTTGAGAATCTTGGAGTTCTCCTCCAGCATCTTGGCAATCTCCATCTCTACAGCTGTCCCCAGCTGCTGCCGCTGTTGGTGATATGGTGAAATGTCCCCAAAAGAGAAGAAAATACTTGTTTTCATATGAGGGAGAAATAAGTGCTTATATTTCAGTACTATGCTGCAAACCACAAAGAGAATCCTGACCCTGGAGATTTTGCTCTGGGTTTTATATTTGGCTTTGACCAGTTTTATTTAGAAGTTTTCCACTGTTTGGTTGCACGGGCATGGGACATGAGCTGCAGAATGACTGAGCCACACCGGCTGCCTTCATTTGCCAGAGCCCTGTAGGAGAACCCTCTGGGGATCCATACAGAAGGGAAACAAAAGTGGACTCACTCCATGCTCTCTCTTTACCTGGTTGTCAATTTTAATCTCTGTCAGGGATTCATTCTCTTTCAGTGCATCAATCAGTGCCAAAATACCCGTCCCAGTGATGAAGTTGGATTCTACATTCAGACTCTTCAGTGTTTTGTTCACTTTCAACATATCTGCAAATGCCTGAGGGGTCAAAAAGAGGGAATATGAGATAACGTCTTGAGAGTTTCAGGGAATAACGGGAATCTGCAAAACACAGCTTAGTACCTACAAAGAAATAAAACATAAATAGGCTTAGAAGAACATAGAGGTAGATCAGAAGAGATTACACTTCTGCTTTGCACAGTCACAGGGAAATTCTGGGAGGGAAAATGAAGAATGCATCTAAAGCAGACATAGACCTACTTAAAAATTATTGTGTTTTTTTTCCAAGCAGCATTTAAACTTACGATAGCTACAGGGTCATTGCTTCGAGTAGCTGCAAGGCTGAATGTCTTCACATGCGTGTTGCTTTCCAAAGCTTTTGCAAATTCTTTCAGTGTTGGAATAGGAATGTTCTACATTAAGAAGATAAATCCAGTAATTAGGAAAGCCAGTCACATCACTAGACACTGATTTTAATTATTATCAAACTAATTGATTAATAGCCACAGTCTACGCAATTCAGACATCCCCGATGCTCTTAAGCGTAGCTCAGAAAGCACAAAGCGCTTTGCTTCAGAGGCCCGTGGAGGCCTGCGCTAGGATGCGGTGTCAGCACTGCCTTTAACTGGGTCAGGCCAACGCAAGCACGTGACCGACCTCTGAGCTACTTTCCTATTTTGCTGCTGGTTGTTCAGTCTCCGCGTGCCAGCTCCTCCTCCGTTTGCATGTGTGGGCTAATTAAATTTGGCCAGTGATGATTATATAGTGCCCATGAGATATCTTGCTTTACAATCTGCTAAAGAAAGGCAGCCAGAGGGAGTCACCCCTTGGGCTTTTAATTGGCATCTAATTCAATATCAGGCATTGATGACCTTGGAGCCTCTACAACAGTTCCCTCCACACCCCTTTCCTGTGTGTCCTGCTTTTCCTGAACAGTAGAGTCAGCCGAAATTTGAAGATAAAAGGCAAGGGCTTTGGAAATATTTGAATAAACCCTCCTATGATGACATAAATGAAATCACAGCATCTACCTTTATGTTGTTGAGATTAATTTCTATGAGACTAGGATCATTTGCTTTTATCCTTTGTAAACTTGCTTCCACGTTGGTCGGATTAGGTGGCTCCTCAAAGATGGGCTTGACCTTTTCACCTTTCACCACATCTGCAACACAAGATCTCATTAAATCTTGATGTGAGGAACAGGCATCATCAGTAAGAGTCTGGCTTTTCAACTCCCATTCAGGTTTGTAGTGTAGCGTTCAAGAAGGGGTTTATATGAACCACAAAACTTGGAAATAGGAGAATTAGCCCCGTTATCCCTGCCATGCCCTTTGCACCTTCTGTGCACCCAGAAGCATGTCACTTCTGTGGTGACATGCGGTCACAGGCTGGGCAGTATCCTCACAGGCAAATTCCTCCTTTCTGTACAGAAGTCCCAGTACAATTAATTTGAGCCAAAGCAGCTTTAAAGACTATTGTATATGATGTAATATACTGCAAGGGCTGCTTAGTTCTTTGTCTAACACCTGTGTTAGAAGGTGTGTCTAACACAAAGAAGGTGTGTTCAGAACTCGCCCATTACTCGCCCAAACGTCCCTGCACCTATATATAGACTTTTCGAACATAAAGGAACATGATCAGGAGGCCCCTCAGTTTCCTTCTCTAGGCTGATGCTATCAGCCTTACTATAAATTCAATTAGCTCTTGTGAAATTGCAACATCTGCACTTTCTAAATAATAAAGCTATCAAACCATGAAAAGCAAGTCTGTCTGCCAGCACCAAGATTTATCGTGTCTTTGAGTATTCATGCTCCAAAGAGATACAGTTTTTAATGCTGGCAGCTATGAGCTATAAATATTCTTAGAGATGCATAAAAATCACAGCTTAGAACACAATTAGTATTTCTAATTCCCACGCATATAGTTGTGGAGATTAATTTATAAGCCCTGACCACCCAAGCCACTAAAGGCAAGAAAGGAATACATCACTGACCACAAGTATGTTTAAACACTTTTATTTTATGTTGCAGACAGTGACTTATTTTGAAAACTTGTGCTCAAGTCTCAATGTACTACGTATTTCTGTTCAGTGCAATGGGTAAAGTTCACGTCATATCATGGGCCAAAAGAAAAATATTTTTTAGAACTTATACTCTTAGTAGAGATGAAGTCATACACAAACTGGTTTTCACTCTGCTCCCTTTTACCCTGAACTTTTTTTTTTTTTACTATTTCCCTGAGTGACCTCACATATGCCTGAATAACACTCCAGCCTTCCTAGGGAGTAGGAAATTGAAAACTACTGGTAAAATGCATACAGAGAATTCACCCTATCTTGAAGGCAAGGATGGAAAGTAAACAAAAAACAGCAAAGCATTTTTTGCACTTGTGGCAACACCCTGCCAAGCTGGGAGCCAGGGAGAGACTTGCACCCTGTCCTGGGGTTAGACATCACAGTATACTCTGCCTAGAGTTAGCCATATTTTTCACTTTCTACTTCTTGCTGCTTCCCATGAGCTTTATCTTGTTTCTTTAACAATGGTGCTGTTTTGCCACATTGATGGGCAACTTTTGAGATGTCTCCCTCTTTTACTGAAGCATTTCACTTGGCTAAGGAAAGGTATTGCTTTTGGACCAAAGAATAAAGTGATGTGATGGTGATTTTCTGGTTCTTAAGCCTGTGATTGGAGCATAGTTTAGCTGACTCACATAGCTGACATTTTGACTCAGTACAACAAAAATAATCTGAAATCTATGTGGATTAGTAATGCATGTAGTTGCCTGTTATGAGATAGATGGCAGCTTGCACAGAGCCCCACTGGGGAGACTTGCAGAGCAGTCTTAATCTTGAGAAAAATGAAGTGACACGGTGTCCTGTCTGCTTTCCCACCTCCCCTTTAGTAAAGAAGGATGGAAATTAAAGTCCTTGGTAAAGATAGCTGCTGTTCTCATGGCCTTACAAGAAGAAAACGTTTTTTGAGTACTGCTCCCCTAGAAAAGGGCATTCCACAATTCTGTCTTGAAAAGCAAAGTTTAGCCCACTTGATATCCCAGAGCTTGGAGGCGATGAGCTCTGTATCGAGGCTTGGCAGCTCGCAAGAAAAACTTGGAATTCAGACGTACCCATTTCTCCCCCCATCCAGCCTCCTGTCGGTTGCTGAGCTAAGACCTGATTCACCAAAGGTCTGTTTATTTAGTGCAAACATTTCTGGATTTGTTTGTAGTAACTACAGCTGTTTCTGCTGGGGGATTTCCTAACGGTTACACTTCCCGTGTACCTAAGGAGCCCCGTAACAGACAACGTTTAAACACGTTGCCACAGGACTAAGGTGGAGGTAGTAGATCAGAGAGAGTAGCCGGGGCAGGGGTACGTCCATCTGGTCTTTGCCTCCCTGTGAACGCAGCTTGATGTGACTCTGGTCACAGATGTGACTCTGCCAGGGATTCTGCCACGCTCGAACCCCGTGGTTACAAGTCGTTCTTCAGTTGCGTAAATGTAGTTACTCGTGGCGAGGTGGCCTGGCCTGCGCTGTGGCCAGCTCTTAGCTACAGCTCGCTGTTTTCTGTCCACTGCCTAAGCTGAAGTGGAATGAAAATATATATGTCTTGGCTTCTTAAATACTCCCATCTTTTCAAGCACCTCTGCAGATCCAGATATTGCTCTCTAGGAAAACAAAGCTCCTTAGGAATGATTTATTTGCATAGTACTGTTGTCATTATAGATAACAAATTTTAAGATTGTACTTACTTTAACGAGCTCCCCCTCATGATTAATTCTATCAATCAAGGTGAGGCCCAGTCATTACACTAAATTAGGCCAATACACCCAGCCTGTAGGTGTACAAGTCCCTAAAGATGACATATAGCCCACAAGAGAAACCTGCTTGCTTACTTCTCACAGTTCCTTTTCCATCCTTACTGCGGGCTCCTCCTTCATCAAATTTTGGGTTGTTGACCATGTTGTGCACTCCAAGAACAGCTAAAATGTGTAAACACCAACAACAGGATACAATGTTAATGGCAGGAACAAAGACGGCAGAAAAATACCTGCTACAAATTCTAGTCTAGTTCCCCAAACAAAACTCCCTTTATAAAATGTTAACTCTCTAAGCCAGGCTTGCTTGTAGGGAGAGTCTTTAGGGGTCTAAATACTGGAGATACAGACATTTTTAATACAAGTTTTTGAACAACTGAATCAACGTAGTATGCACATAACAGAAATGCCAGCTGGAAGAAACCACTGCGGGTCATCTTGTCGAGCCTCCCCCTCAAGCAGGAGTGTTGCCAACATTAACCAGGTCAGCCATGGTTTTGTCTAGCTGGATCCTGAAAACATCCAGGGAAGGAAATCCCACAATTTCTTTGGGTAACTTGCTACACTCCTAATCATGTTTTTGCCCTAATATACAACCTGAACCTCTTGTTGCTCTTTGTTGTATTGTTTGGCATATCCAAGAAGAATTTGACTGTACATGTGGTTAGCTTAATAATTGGCATTCACACTGAGGTTTCACATGGATGCTAACGTGCTTGGGGAAAAAAAAATATTCCAGGACTTGAAAACAAATAGTGAGGATATAAACGATATAAACTATTATGAGAGAAATGACAAGAGAAACCAAAACTCCATAAAAGAAGCTGCAAAGTTATTTTTTGTGCAAATGAACTTCCATAGTGTCAGAGAATAAATTGCGCTGTGTTTTCTGATACTTCTCCCATAAATTATCTAATTGGACTTTATTCTATAGGATCATGCATTAATTAGAAGTTATTAACTTGATGTAGGTTTTTACTTTTATCATCAATTTTTTCTTATGGAAAATACTCTGTTCTGTAAGCAAATGACTCTTCAGTTGCTGTTACAGACTATTTTCAGAACTCTGGCAGTAGGTGCGCTACTCGCTGTTTTTCACTAGACTTCAATACCAACAAATTCTGTCATGAATGGCTGGATACTGACCAGAGCTGAGCAAAACTTGGAACTTCATTCCATGAACTTCAGACTTCCTGAGAAGTGCTGGCTGCATTATAATCCTGTGATTCCTGTGATACACCACATTTCAGTCAGAGCCAAGACTAATGCATCCAGAAATGGGTGGTGTAGCCAAGAATTACAGAAGATAATGGCAAGATCACATCCTTCAATAGGACAATATAGTAGCTACAAGAGTGTTGAGTTTAATGTTGATCTAACCCGGATTCAGATTTATCTAATATGCTGAAATATTTCATTTAGATTTTCCTCATGGAAACAAAAAAAATTGTCAGTTGCAATTCTCCCACCAAAATTTTTGTATAGACTAGGGCCCAAAAAGGTAGACCATGGAGCTCAGAGAGCCCAGGGAAGGACAGGATCCACTCTGAACTGGGTGGTCAAGGCAGGAGATGTCAACGGTTCCATAGGGAGATCTAGGTTGAGCAGCACTTTAGGATGACCCATTGACATTAATCTCACCAGCCCTGGCTGGTTTGCTTCTTCCCAAATTAGGGATTCAGATGATGATCTTCTACTAGCATAAACATATGACACACCCATGATACAAACTGCTTGAAAGTCACAGCCGGCTCAAGACCTACAGATTGGCCTTTGTTATACTGTAGTTTCAAATGTTATTTATGCAAGTGGATACACTTCAAAATTATTTCCTTTTGCACAATCTAAAACATGAAGTTATACTCTGGATTAAAGGAAAAGAATTAAAAGTGGTGAAGATACCCACGTCTAATCAGCTGGCAACCAATTTTCTGATTCAAGGGGTTACATTTCAAATTTCCTCATGGATGCAGGATCTTTATCCACTGCATCCTCTAACAAGTTCATCCTGCCACTTGGGATGTCAGAGTTGAGAGGAGGTACCAATAGTACGCTACAAACAATGCGGATGCAGTAAGATCAATGGTCTCCACTACAATGCAGCCTGCAGTCTACCATCTACCCTTCCTTTCCCCAAATCATGTTAGCTGGTTCATCTTCTCCCCTTGCCTGCCACATCAACTACAAGTAGATGAGAGAAGTCTTAAAATGCAGCAGTTATCGAGTCATGCTTGAACTCCTCATGAGCAATGCGTGGCCCACAGGTTGGCCACCTGTCTGTATAGTGAAACAGCAGGTACTTGAGGGATGACCATGAGACACTCCTGGTGGCAGGTCTAGGCAGATAAGAATTGGATGTGTAGGGGGATCATACCTATATATTATCTAACCTGCAAGGTCATAAAGCTCAGTATCTGAAGCGCTGGCCAGGGCTTCTTCTAGTTCCGGATCCAGGGTCACTTTCTCTTCTGTACGGGTTTCTATGGGCTTTTCTTTAGGGATAAATATTTTTCCTAAGAGAAGAAAAAAGCCAGAGTGAGTAATGAATTATCGGAACAACTCCTCTGCCTCCTGGCAGTGGGGGAATAGGTCTGTGACAGTGGAACTGCTTGGAAAGATTATCAAGTGCATGTTTTCCTCTTTCTTACTTGATGCTATCCTCCACACCAGGATCTTAATAAGAGTCTAAAACTAAAAGGTGCAGAGTTCTGCTCTGTGTTGGTGATTGTTAATGTGGAAGCAAATTTCCTAAAATAAATCCCCAGGAGCAGTCACAGCTGGGATTTTTCTGAAGTTCCTGTGGCCTTAAATACGCAGAATCAGGTCTACACAAAAAGCTTGCAGAAATTTCATCCTTATATTTAAATGAGGCACCAGAAGCAGTTAAAACCAGCCTACTGCAAGAACCTTTCAGTTTACCAAATTCCATACATGAGCCTGAAAGCTCAGCAAACCTGTTCTCTTCCAGTAACTCAGTTTAATTCCCAGCCTCTCCATGAGTATTTCCCCCTCCGTGTCTCCATTCATGTAAATAGCCTTATCCTGATCATCTGTGCAGGCCTGACGAGTCTGAACTGAACTGAACCACACGTTCCCCAAGAAAGACTCCTGACCTGTTTGTCTCTCTTTGTATGCTGCTGTTAGATTGGGGTTAGCAGGTGTGTGTTTCCATGCGATATTCCCCCAAGACTGAGATCATCAGCCCTTCTGCTGAAACGAGAAAACTGTAGGATAAATCCAGAAACAACACAAGAAGTCAGACTACTCCTTTAGCCTGCCATTATAGTTAAGCTCGTAGTGTGGTGATGTAACTGCAAATGCTTGGAGCCAGGCCCTTTAAATCAGCGCTAGGGCTGCGCTTCAGACGCCAGCGCTGCTGGGGCTTTTCTCCCACTCAACACTTCCCTCTACCAAACCCATACAGTCAGTAATGCATTAGATGATGCCACATGCAACAGACAGTGTCATGGCTCCGATAATTCTGTGAATTCCCATGTTCTACTGTCCACTGCGGAGTAGTTCCGCTCACCTTGTCCCTAACAACTGCTTCTCAAGCAGGCTTCAGTTAATCCCATTGTAATGAAGCTGTGGTGACCTTTGGATGCCGGTGGCTTTGGCTCACTGTCGACTTTAAATTGTTTTTTTGTGCAGCTTTGTACACTCTAGATGTAATGCTTGAAGCATATCCTGTGGCTTTCTGAAATGTCTCTAAAATAGTTTAATTTTACCTCTATTAGTGATGTTATTTTCTTACCATTAATAAATGCAGTTCTGATGTTTCGTGTTGAATTACAGATGCTTTTCCTCTGGTTTTTTGTGGCTTAATTTTTCCCCATTATGGTCCAAAGTATCATTTTCATGTAGATAATACCCCATTCATTTACCTCTTTCATACAAGTTTGTCTACAGCAATTTCTATACTGTCAGCTTCCATGACTAAGACCACTGAATAAGCTCAGAAAAAAATTTTAATGGAAATTTCTGAAACTCTGGCAAGGTTTACTGACACAGGATTCGAATTATTTACCCTAGAGATATTTATACCAAGGCTAAATAATTTCTGAGTACAAAACTGGACAGAAGGTTATGTAGAAAGACAAAGCAGTATCATATTATGATTCATTTTTCATGCAATATTTTAAGTAATCTTTTAAGAAGAGGCTTCTAGAAGATAAAAGCTTTTGTGGGCCAAAGGTAAGAATCATTTTCACTTTCACCGTGCACTGGGTGATATTAATCAGAGACAGCCATCCCAGCAACATCAAACAAAAGTCAAGTGGAAATCTGGGGTGAGAAATACTCTCTGAAGATAGATTAGTCATGCTCTCCAGATTTCATAACAGCAGAGGTACAAAGATTTCAGACTCTCTCTGTACTGTCACCTAATCTGAAGTGTTGGATGGCAGCTTCCAGCCACCACTGACCAAGACTTAATTTGATGCCAGCTTGACTGGTAAGGATAACACGTAAGGATAACACATAAGGAAAAGAATTAATGACTATGTTGGAAGCTAGAAGACCAAAATTAATCAGAATATCTGAGTAAACAATCAATAGTGAGGAGTACTGTCCGTAAAAAATTTTGCTTTCAGATCACTGGTGATTCCACATGAGTTTCAAGTAATTAGTAGGTCGTCTGAGATCTTGAGGGAATCCTACTTATCTTTATCCGGGCTATCCCCTAACAGCTATACTCCACAGAGCCATAGCTCCCATGAAACATCTCCGTCAGGCAATAAGTGATTCTTCACAGACCCAAACCCCAGCCAGACTGTTAACAAATGCTGACGGAAGTCTATACTTTCACACGTAACGTTGTAAGGGGACACAGGACCTGGAGTCTTGTGTAAACTGGACACGATATGTATTACAGTTGGTCCTTCCCTACGGAGTTTGGATGTGGGTAGGCCAAGTATCTTGTGTAGCAAGAAATCCAGGGGTAATGGAAACCAGTACAGGCTTATACTTTTTCTGTGCAGTTCACATATATAGGAATACAATTTTTAAGCATTTGTTTGAGGCATATGTAATTCTTGGATGGCAGCCCAGATCTTTTTAAATGTGTATATGACTCCCAATGATAGTTTCATTTAAAGCATTCTTGGCAAATATTTTAGAAAAAAATTCTATTACTGGTTATATGAAATATTTAAAGGGGCAAGGTCATGTCAAAGATAGTAATATATATCTTTAATATATGTGGGCCTTGCTGGCGTGCAGTGGCGTTTTAAAAATATTCTTTTTTTCTGCTACCTAGATAAGAACATTCTTTTGCATTATCCCACTGTGGAGAGATGCTGTAGCATAGCAGATAGAGGTTAGAAGAGCTTATGCATATAGCGGGTTATTAGGAATTCGTTACCTGTCCAGCAAAACTGTGTGTCTGTGTTTACAGATGGCTGTCAACCAGTTCTCCTTCATTATTTTAAAGTCAGAGTTTAAAGATCTAGGAGGTTCCTCCTAGTCCCACATCCGTACATTGTAAATTCATTATATACTGCCATCGTGGAATTCACTGACAAAATAAAATATGGATTGTGGCTTGCTTGTTTCAACGGTCCAGCTTAAATTTAAAATTTATTATTTGGAAGAAGCCTCAGAAGAATAGTGACGTTTTATTATTTTAAAGTGAGGTTTATGAAGAAAGGCTGCTGCTCGTGGTGCTTTTTATATTCACATTGTATTTTAGAAGGTACTTTATTACAACATTCCACGTGGTATAATTAATGTTGGCTGCGTTACATTTTGCCTCCAGAATATACTAATGTTCTGTGCTAAGTCTTAATAGTAATAGCTTATCTTTCTACCAATGAAAAACACAGTGACAAACGTTATGTTTATACCTGTCATACTTGAGCTACATCAGTGCTAACAACACTAAGATAACCACAGTTATGTACAAAAATAATATATTCTTGTGTTTAACTGCAAAACAAAATTCAATTCTGGTAAAAAAAATAGTAAGCATTAAAATATCATTTTATTTTTACACATGCGTAGAAACCCAAAATCTCTGGAATCCAAAGTGCTTTTTTTCAACATGAAATTTTAAGCGTAAATCAATGCAATTCTCCCCTTCTTTCTGTCAAACTGGGATAAGTGGTGGGGTGACCTGGATGATGACTGAGGCAGCTTCCCCTGTACCCAGGGGACTTTCTGACTGTGGTGCAGTGAGTAGAGATTTGTCCTGGCTCAGTCTAACAGCAGAGCTATTCCTTTTCACACACTGCAAAACTTCTATTCAAATTGAAATATGATATGGTTCATGTTTTACTCAAAAGAGGCTCGGGGAAAAAATCCTTTGAAAACCAGAGAGAGGATTCAGTAAAAAGGACTACAGAGAGCCATAGAAATGCCGAGTGAGATAAAAGGAAGACAAATTCTATGAAAAAAAGAAATACACTGGGTACAGTCATAAAACTATGGACGTAATTTTGCCACTTGGTTTCAGCAAGCTCTGATTTCCTGCATTATGCAAATGTCCCCATTAAAGCAATGTCAAAGTAAAGCAAGGAAATGAGATGTACCCCTAACTTCATCTCCTTATACAATAATAGTTAACTACATAACCACATATGCACACATAGGAAAATGTATTAATTGAGCAGGGAACTACTTCAAGTGTATTTTCCTGAAGTTCATTTGTTTATTGTTATATAAGGGGGAAAAAAGGAATTTTAATAGCACCGTTGGTAGGATTTTACTAGTGTGTCCAATCTAAAAAACATTTTGAGGATTTCATCTTCATTTATAGTTTACAGCATTTGGAACATCATTTCTGGTATGTCTTCTCTCTGCCTTCCTTCTTATGTCATTAGACTTCTGTGAATAAATATAAATTGCCACCATTTTTATTTAGTATAAATACTTAGTATTTACTCCCACCTTGTACAAGCCGAAATTGTACAAGCCGAAACTCAACAAAGCAGAGAGCAATGGGAAATAAGCCCATTTGTATTTGCTGTAAAAACGTCCTTTTGTTTAAAATCAGTTTTATTAAGGATAGTTACTTAATTTTATAATACAATGCATTTTCTGCCATAATTGTAAAACAATAACGTAGTTTCTTTTCCTATAAACTGCAGTTCAGATTACTGTACTTTCAAGAAAATATCTGGTTACACTTACTTCTTACTTTTCAATGAATCATGGACTACAGTGAGTGCCTGTTTATTCTCAATTACAGAACGTTACACTGACCTTAGAAGTGAAATTCAGTAATCTTGGAAATCTGCCTTGCCAAAATCACAGGCACCTGATTCACTTTTTCCATTTTGCACTATTCTTTTCTTTTGAAGCTTACTTAAACTCCTCTATGGAGTTATATGAAAACGGAGCTAAATTAGTTCTTACCAGGAATAAATTTGTATTATGAAGAAGAAAACAGGCCAAGTTCAAATAAGTGTGAAGCTAAAAGCTAGTAGTAATTAAAATGCAGTATCATAATTGCTGCTGTACTATTACTCTTGGATTAGTGTCTGCATATGCTATGCCTTAAAAATTATGATAATGG